AGCACTGAGTTCAGATCGGGGATCTCGTTGAATTGTATTGGAGTTTAAGTATCTAGTCATTGGAGTAGTGGAGTTTTACCGCGTTATTGTACTTGATGTTTGCAGAGTATAATACCAGTACTAGTTGAAACCTCATCTGTTGGCTTCGTGTTCTTATTTTATCATCACCGCCAGGGAAGTCTTCTGTTACTGTTGCCATTTTGGTTTTTGAACCATCACACCTGTACTACATGTAGCTATACCAATTACGGTAATATTACGTTGCGTGTGACAGACATGTCAAGATCCCATTCAGGTCTCATCTCGTAGATAGCGAGACTGATGCTACGACCTTCAAACATGAAATAGGCGGTTTGTAATAATCAATAAAACATGTATTATTAATACATCGAAAATGTACAGAAAATAAAGTTATCGTAATCCGTCACATCGTGAGCAGCTATTTTGGTCCACCTGGACATTCCAGTATCCTAGTTACCTCGGGCATGCGCATTCACATTTTTCTGAGTTGGAATGCTTATGCGAGAGCGAGATTGAAACGGGATCTTGGTATCATGTCACCGTAGTTGCAAACCCCGAGTAATGTACCTCTGATTCCATATGTACCCATAGATTATTTTCATAATTACTGATTACACACAAATATTACAGAAAAAAAAATAATTTGCTATATTATCTATATTTGTGACTGAAAGGAGCTGGATGAAATTACAAACTCATGTATGAACAATAACTTTAATAAATATGATTTTACTTGGTAAAAATATTGTATTTTTCTACATAAAAACAAAAGAATTTCACAATGTCGAAAACGGAAAGTCTTTATTACCATTGTGTTGTTGGTTATAGTTGAAAATGAAACATCCAGGTGAACCTGCTCATGAGGTCGCAGGAGTCTGTTTTCAACAGCCGTATATATCTAACTGCGTCACCAAGTTTCCTTGGTGGACCACGAGCTATGTTCCTTGTTTGCACGTTATCATGTTCACACAATCGCAGACATTATTTGTAAGGGTGTCCTTTGAAATGGCACATTTTCTCGATGTTTTAGCGAGTACTCCGCGGGTATATGGCTTGTTCTCGCATTAGCATAATTTTCATAGAGTTCACTCATCGCTTTCCCACTTGCATTTTTCATTCTTTTCTAACTTTTTTTGCACTCTAATATGTTGTTGTTTTTATCTTTCTAAACATGAAGTTTATTTTTAATTGAAATTCAACGAGATGATTTGAATTTGATGACGATTCGAATTTATCCACTTTTACAGTGATCAATATTTCGTTCGAGTTGAGTCTTGCGGTGTTTTTCGTCAAAGTATTAAATACAAGTGCTTTCAATTGGGAAATAGTATAATTATATATTGCGTAAGTGAAAGAGTTTGATGAGGCTGCCAGTGTGTCACAACACATTTTATTTATTTCCAACACGCGTGGTCCGCTCCTCTGATTGCGTTTATTTTGTATTTTTATTTTCGAAATGCATCACTGGCTGCGTTTGTTTTGTTTTATGTTTTCATCTCTTTCATTTTTCGTCCGGCTGCTGCCAATCCAATAATTCGTCACCGCATGTACTCAGACAAGCGATTAATCGTCAGTCATTATACTAGTAGTTTAAGTCCAATTGATTTGCAGAAATTCAGCTATGCCATGATGATATGTGCAGTTTTGTTTTGCGCACCCAGACACGATCAAAAGTTAACCAATAGATTTTCTGAACTACAGCATTCGTATTACTTATGCAAATTGAGTAAGGGTCATAGTGCGAGTTGCGTTCGCAAATAACAAAGTGTCAAATTATTTTGAGCGCCATTCGGAATAAATTTAGTCAAAATCACACACAGAAACACACACACAACACACAAATACTAGTACTCAATCCATATCGCGATTGATTGACCAGTTATGTAGCTGCTTGAACTACGCACACAAGGACGTAAATATGTAAATACAGGTCACAGTTCGACTTGCGTAGCAAACGTTACAATGTGTCAAGTGAAGGCATCTGTCCCCCTTCCCAATACAGAGAAGCAATAGGCGTTGTATTTTGAATCGTCATTAAAACCTAAACTTATTACGAATAAAAACATAAGTTTATAGATACAATGTACGATCATCGTTACTCCAGCGGTCAGTTGGCAAGCGGATGATGTTTCTGAAGCCAGCCTAAGCAAGAAAAAGCAGTCTGTTTCCGGTCAGAAAGCAGCAAACGGTCGGAAATTTAGCGATAAGCGGTCGGGGGGGGGGGGGGAGCGATAAAAGTGGGAGGTTGGGCGGAATGAGTACTGTACCTGTGGTTGGTTGCTATAGTAACATACACTAACAATTGATTTCATATTTTGTAGCGTCTACGATAAGAACACACATCTGTGTGCATTTGATATTGGTCTGATTGAGAAGAACAAAGAGTTGTTTTTCAGTGGTCATGTCAAACCAATCTATGATGAGAATCCATCAATTGAAGGCAAGTGATTTTGTCAAAAATTCATCCAAGTTTAGAAGCATTTGCTGATTATCTTGATTGTGCATGAATGTTTTTTATAGAACCTTGATATGCATGCCACTTTGCTTTGCAGATTTGATTAAAAAAAAATTGTCAACTAGTGTTCAATTGTATTGATGAATTCTGATCAGGAGTTGTATCTCTGACTTATCTTGACAATACCTCTTAAAACATTTATAAATATATATGTATATGTGCATGCATTTTGTGATCTAATTCAAGATGGCCGAATAGTGACTGAAGGTTTATCAACATGAAGTATTTCTGCTTATCCAGAAATCTGACTCTGTTGTGTACAGACAAATTTTGTCATTTTAACAAACTAGGTTCCAAAGTCACGTCTCTAACGTGCCTTAACCAATCATATTCAAACTTTACACAAATGCTTTTTCATATTTCCAACGTTTATTTATCATTGGGACTTGTCTATACAGTATGAACTTGTATATAAAATGAACAGGGACTGTTATGTCATGATTTGTTGTTTGCAGGTGGTATTGCTACTAAAGCTATGGGTCCCATCAATGAATGGTGGACTGCAGGATTTGATGGTGGTGAAAATTCACTCATTGGTTTCAGTACAGGTAACTAATCTTCATTTTAGTAACAGGGATTTGCTATACAGCATGGTCAGAAAGTAATCCTTATTAATACATGCGCAAGCCAATTCATTCCTGTTGGGAAGAAAATATATTGTATGTTCCCCAACTGAACAAAGAAAAATACCAGGAAATAAAATACTTGTTTTGTGTATTCCATTTTGTGAGTCTATTTATTCTATATTTAATCTAGAAAATGAATGGCCTTTAATATTATTTTAGTTTATCTTACAGTTTCTTGCACTATAATAAGTTTTGCTCAACCTCCTGCTTTTATCACTTTTATCGACCTGTTATCAGTCCCTGTTCATACGGAGTCCAATAAACACTCAAACAACTCGCATCATGTTATATATCTCAGGATTTTCATTGACAAGGTCTTGTTGCTCAGATCTTTGGCGACCAGTATTGTTTGTCCGGAAACAGATATCACATTGATGTTGTTTGCAAAGCAGACAATCATATTGCATACATATTATTATAGGTAATTATGTACAGAACATACTTGAACTTCAGATAGGGCTAGTCACCATCCCTTGGATCTAAAATGATGCAACAATAAATCACTGTAAACCCCAGACTGCATTATTAGTCATCAGAGTATAAACAGTGGGTGTGTGAGCAGGTGATACTTCCACTTTACGCCTTCAGGAAATTCAACATGCAGTCACAATAATGAGGGATCGAAAAGCAATATCAGCAATAGAGAATATTGAATGGTACTTGGAAAGTGTCGGTATGGAATTTGTGATAGCGAAAAATATTGATTTATAAACATTTGCCCATTTTTTTAGCTCCGCTGTCGACTTTGTCGAGCGGAGCTTATCATATGAGTGATTGTCCGTCGTCCGTCATCGTCCGTGTCAATGTTTTACTTTTTCGACGACTTCTTGAAAACTACACGCCTGAATGCTTTGATACTTGGTGTATATGTACCTTGGGTAGACCTTTCTCAGATTTGTTCATTTCATGATGATATCTTCAATTCTCTAATTTTGGTGAATATTTTTGTCATTTTTAGTAAAAAGTGATATTTTCGACTTCTTGTTGAAAAACCGCAAGTCAATTGCTTTGATACTTACATATATAGGTACTACATGTGGACCTCTCTCAGATTTGTTCATTTCGTGATGATATCTTCAATTCTCTAATTTTGGTGAATATTTTTGTCATTTTTGGTAAAAACTGATATTTTCGACTTCTTGTTAAAAACCGCAAGTCCAATTGCTTTGATACTACATATATAGGTACTACATGTGGACCTCTCTCAGATTTGTTTATTTCGTGATGATATCTTCAATTCTCTAATTTTGGTGAATATTGTTGTAATTTTTGGTAAAAAGTGATATTTTGGACTTCTTGTTAAAAACCGCAAGTCTGATTGCTTTGATATTACATATATAGGTACTACATGTGGACCTCTCTCAGATTTGTTCATTTTGTGATGATATCTTCAATTCTCTAATTTTGGTGAATATTTTTGTCATTTTTGGTAAAAAGTGATATTTTCGACTTCTTGTTGAAAACTGTAAGTCCGATTGCTTTGATATTACATATATAGGTACTACATGTGGACCTCTCTCAGATTTGTTCGTTTTGTGATGATATCTTCAATTCTCTAATTAATTTATTTTGGTGAATATTTTTGTAATTTTTGGTAAAAAGTGATATTTTCGACTTCTTGTTAAAAACTGTAAGTCCGATTGCTTTGATAGGCTGCTTGTTTATAATGTACATTTATTATTTTATTGTTAAATTGATACAATAGCAATAAAGTGTTATTGTGTCATCATCCATGAATTCACTGATGTTTGTCTAGTTTGCATTTCTGTGCAATATATTGTGGTTTACCATGCAAGCTGAACAATAACTCATTTTCATGATAACCTTTATCTTTGTAGAATGGTATTTGAGAGAGAGGAATGGAAGTTAAAAGAATCCTTATCAGAAGCCATGATAGAATCCTCAATATCTTCACCTTCTAGAGCCATTCTAGGTTCTTCACCCATAGGTAAATCAATATTTTCTTTACTTACTTCAAGACGACACATATACATCCGTGTCAAGCTTTATACAACTTTCTCATCCAACTTTATGTATTTCAACATGTTTAGTCTTCATTTGGACAAAGTCAAAACTCAAGAACTTACAATATTTGCACCTGTATCTCAGACTTGACTTACCAATCAATTGAAACTTCGAACATAGGTCATACAAATGTATATCTTGGGATACTTTTACATTTTACGTATTTGTTTTTGTTTTCACCAGCCAATTCAGGATAACTAAACTATGTCCATTTCTTTGATTCCTCTCTCCATTTGTAGTGCAATCCCCTCCCACTAAAAGACCAGAATATGGTGAACTAAGCATAATGCCAGTTATGACAAGAGCTACGCCACCAGACAGTCAGGTATTTATAAAAGTTATGTCTTTCAACACATTTGTAGCACTTCTATATTCTAGACATTTGCTTTTGTGTTTAGCTACTGAGATCAATAATGTATTATTGTCAGAACTGATATTGCCACATTAGTTTATTCGCTTTACATAGTTGGAGTCTGACAGCGATAGTCAGAAGAGTCCTACTACGCTATCAAGACAAGCTAGAAGTATGGATGTGGATAGTAAGTATCTCCAAATATTATTTTGCACTTTAGACCCAGATTCCATCAAACTTGGAAAACATAGACATAGTTTCGTGGCAATAGATGTTGGCACTTCAACACACTTTATTGACCACCATACAAGTGACTGTGAATGTGCAGTATGCTGATTGATTTCGATTTTGGCAACCAGTTATGCCAGAAGTTACATATTTCATATCTTATCCAACCCTATATGGTAAACTTGATACTGTGTTCTTTATGGTCCACTCTTCTTCTCGAGGGGGAAAAAGTACATGAGTGGAAATTTGCTGAAAGCCATTTTTTCACTTTAAAAATGTGTTTTGTACTTAATAACATAAAAAATAATATTGATGTACCAATAAAAGATTTTGGGCCAGACAATAGCAGGCATTTCAAAGGCACTCTAATCTCTAGCCCTCTGGCACGGCCTTCTTAGATCATTATTTTTGTTGTATGATTGGAATGTTTTTATTCACCCAATGTATAATCCAATGAGTGTGAAATTATGCTTGCAAGACCCTAATTTCCTGAGCAGAAAAATACATACATTTATATTCAATTTTCAGAAAACAAAGAGGATATTATCAATATCACATGTTTAGAAATAACAAACTTTACTTTTGTTACAGCTCTGTTTGATTTGGATGGATTCTCACAAGACTGTGAACCGTTCTTTGAATCTGACGATGATGAAACAGATGGTAAGATCTTTAATGTTTTAATCACATTAATTTAGACATGTATCTTAACTTGTACATGTGCACAGTGAGACCTTCAGTATAGACAGGTTTTCACTTAATGTTCAGTATAGACAGGTTTTCACTTAATGTTGAGTATAAACAGGTTTTTAGTTTATTGTTCTAGTTGGTTTACTTTATTACTTAATCCATATTTCAGATAACTCATTGAATGAAGAGTCATTGGTAAGTCATCATCATCACTATCAACACCACCATCGTCATATATCTCAGAGACCGCGGCCCGTATCTCAGCAGTATGCACAGTCTGTACCTATCAGTATGCCGATGTGGAACAGAGAGAATAGTAGATCATTCGACGAGGATGATGAGAGGGTGAGTAGTGTACCATAGTGGAGTAGCTGAGCAGCGCCCTCTTGTGTCAGATAACCAGTGAACTGATGTTTTTGACTCCCATGTGCGAAGCACAAAATGGGAGTCTTTGCAG